AAACATATATCTTGTTTTTAATTTGAACTTGTGATAAAAAACCTCTCTTGAATTGATCCTTTGTAAATTAGATCTATCTTGATAACTCTAATGAAGTTGATAATCAGTTACAGTAGTTTTCTTTATCCCCTTCCGATGGACATAAGAAAATTAGGGTTTCATATGAAAAACCTCATTGTTTGCAAATTTTCTCGCACCATTCGAATAATAATATTTCTATTTTCTTATAGCAGTGTATGTTAACCTAATTGTTTCACTAGCCTACTCTCGTAGTACTAGATCAAAAGTGATAAGCTTATGAGCAAATTACAAGCAAAATATTAAACTATGAACCTATAAAACAATAGATGCAATCACATAATAAATGCTTCGACAATTGCATAGAATCCAATTCAAGGGAGAGAAAAGTTTAAGTCGTACACATTACAATAGAACACAACATAAAATTCATTGCAAAATCAAAGTTTGACAAATTTAGAACGATCTCATCGATGTTTCCCACTTTCACATGAACTTACAACAAAATCCTTTAGCTTTACACCGTTTTGAGTATAGAAATGGACACACACTCACCCATTCACTTGTTCTCACTCAAAATAATACTCACTCGCACTCACAACACTCCTATGAATTTCTCCTTCAAAATGCTCAAACTGCTTCCTAGTACTTCTTCCTGTCGTTGGTCTCTGATCATCTCTACTCCTCCAGTGCTTCATATTTGATAATTTTTAACTTCTTTGGCATGAAATGACGTGAATGGAGGCCTTTGAATAGAAATCCGATGCTTAAAGGTGCTTGGGCACCTAAAACTGGTGCATAAGGGTTTGTGGCTCTGGTTTTGTACACCTAGGCTCTCAGAACTGGCGTCTGAGTCTCGTTTTAGTCTGATTTAGCCTGTTTTGAGTTTGTTTCACCCCATTTTCTCTAGAAATTGCATAATCACATGTACACTGTATATACAACCATAAATACAAGAAAATCATAAAAGGACATAAATAAAGATAAAAATATCATAAAAATAACATTCATATTCGATGCGCATCACTAGGGAACCCCACCACCTAAAAACCCGAGGAAAAATCTAAAATCCCAATGAGGCAACATCAACATTAATGGAGGCTGATTTGATACTATTTTGGAATACATCTTACTTCTCGAATATATGGCGATGATGATTCTTGCTTTGACTAATCGAGTTGACTATATTTCCCAAAATACATTGTCACTTACGAGGTAACTTTGTGAGCATGCTTGTTAATCCCACCAGCGATTGAGTTAACTGATATTCTAAAAGCTGTCGGAGTCAATATCACACAACTTTCTTATCGAGCAGCGACAATCATCATTGGTTTAATCACATTTTTAGAAAATTTGGGTTGAAGTTGACACCAGAGATTTTAGCTAGATTGAAAGAATTTGCTAGCTACACACATGGTCGTGTGTCTTTTAGGAGCAATATATTAGATTTTCACAGAAGGGATTATGTAAGACACTAGTCTGTGGGTTTTTTCTTCCTACAAAATGCTTAGGGATTTCACGAGAAACATGAGAAACCACAACAACTACGTATTTTTCTCCAGATAACCGAAGATGAAATACTATGAATGCTCAGATTTTGGGATTTCAAGGAGATGCAACTCAAGGTGTACTATATCTACAAAATCATGAGTGAGGAATTCATGTTCAAGGTCAAAATTTTCTTCCACCAACGTTCAAGAAATCATAGAAGAAGCACCTCGAGCTGGCTCCTATGACACCCTCGAAGTGGCCCTACCAAGAAGTGATTACAAGATACTTCCTGAAAAGTAGTGCAAGAGGAGCGAAGAGACTAGAATGATACACATCCTAGAGAAAATGTTTGCTCATTCATGCATCGGGTTCCAAGTTGTCAAGGACTTTGTGAGTTTTTCTTACATTTTATTGTCGAAAAACTCTTTTATTTTTTTGACATAAAAATATTTGTTCCAGATGGCTAACATGATGGAACTTTTGATGGGACTTAGCCTTTATCTGAGAGACTAAACTCTGAGTTCATCAAGATCAAGTTTCTCCATGGTAAGTACAAGTATTGATACGATTCTAGAGATGAGGGTGTTGCAAACATGAAATCTCAGCTGATGGAGTGTAGGATAGAACTATCCATGATGTTGACTTCCTTCTCACTATAGCGTCAGGATCAGGAGAGAACTCTAGAGGCGTTCGTGGAAATACGAGTCAACTTCGGTCAAAGTAAGAATAGTGTGAAGGCTTTATGGTCGAAGGTGTCAGCCCTAGAAGAAAAAAAATTCAGAAACTAAGGTCTGAGAAGGAAGTTGATGTTGCTGGAGTTGAGTTGAGAGTTGTGGAGGACTTCAAGAACTTTCGGGATCGTGTTCGGGAGGCTCATGATCGGATGCTTGACGTTGAGGTGAATGAGCAACAAAAATGGTCGTCGAGGAAGGATTCATCCCGGGCTTTCTGAAGGGGGTCCAAGCAGTTACCAATGTTGTGCCATGTCTTTCTCTCACTGCTGAAAAGGGCTTTTAGCAACCCTCAGAAAGTTGCAACTCCTGCAGCAGATAGACGGGCTAAGGAAAGTACTTTAAGACACTTTATATGTAAATATCAAAGTTTAGTTGTGATATATAAAATATCTCATGTTTTTAGTTATATATATATATATATATTGATTCAAAATATTTTCATTCATGAGTAGTGCTACTTTTATTTTATGTATCTAGGACTTTACTCTAATTCAGCTTGGTTCTACCTTTACAACCTTATAATTTGTTAGTCAGATTAATGGATCGGTGCAGCTTTATGCTTCAATTTGGTGGGGCCATAAATATGTAACAGTGAGGCCACAATTCAATAATTTCACAAAATTGTTAACAATTTATACAAAAAAATATTTATATGAAAATAATGATAATTATTAAAAAAAACTCAAATTCTTTTAATAAGAATTAAATATTTATTATTTTTTATACTTTATGACATAATACTAATAATAATAATAATAATAATAATAATAATAATAATTTCTTTAATATAATGTTATTATAAATCATAATATTATTTAAAAATCTTATTCTATTTTTAGATAGAAAATCTTTTTTATTTTTATGAAATTGATATATTATTGAGAATATTTTAAGAAAAAAATAATTATAGACTGTTTAAGAAAAAAATAATTAAATAACTAATTGAAAAATCAAATAAGAAATTAGTTGGTTTCACATGAAACTCATATTAATTACAAAAAATAATTTAAATAATCGATAAATAATTGAATTTTTTAAATTGATTAAATAATTTGGTAAATGAAAATAATTTATTGGATTATTTTTTGTTGATGTTCATTTGATTACTAACAAGCTCAAGTCGAGCTCAAACAACAATGAATTTAAATGAACCGAGCTTAAATACTATCCAAGAAGCTTGAATGGAGCTTCCACATCTTATTTACATCCACCATTTCAAAAAATATAAAATAAAATAAAATAAAAATAAATCTTATTTTTATTTTCGCACCCTGTGAATTAACATCCAACACCTTCCCATCATTTATTCGAGCAAATTTCATGAGATTATGGCTCATAAGTTTCCCGTACACTGTACGAGTATTTTGACCCAATATTGTTCAGTATTAGTCGTGTCAGTACCAATACTTGGTTTATACTGAACAAAATACTAAACCAATACATGCCTTCACTTCTTTGTGCAGGTTTCTTGCATTGTTTATCTACAAGCTCCAATATTGGGTTGACTTAGCCATGCACTTCTGTAAATTGCATTCATTGTTTTATTCTCTCAGCTGCACAAATGGAGCTGGGAATTGCTGATTGCTTCACAGCAAAAGCTGGATTGTGGCTGTAACTCATGCATCCATTTGGGAAACAACTGAAAAGAAATTAACATTTTCAGATTGTTGAGAGGAAAGTGATAGTTTGTAATAAGAATAAAAGCAATCAAATGTAGCCAAGTTTAATTTCCAGTCATCTGTTTGGAGAATGTGCATTTCTTAACAATTTAGCCTTATTGATTCTGTTTCCCAGAAGTTGGTTTGATAAGTATAGTGTCAAGCAAGATTGATTTAGAGTTTGTTTGGGGCAGTGTAGTTTATTGATAAGCTGTTGCGCAAAAGTTGTCACAAAAAGCTGCTGCGCAGAAGCTGACTGACTGTTTATTTTTGGTAGATTGAAAATACATATGCTACAGCTGTTTCTGTACAAATGATCATTCTGCCCCTGTGCTTGGGCCAATGCGAAAGTTTTTGGGAACAAATCTAATTTAATTACTGTTAAAACAATAAGAGTATTGAACTTGGTGTTGTGTTTTGTTGTATTGTCGAGAAAATTAGAAGATTTATTGGTTAAATCTTCGTAATGTTGTCTAAAAGTCCTGCATGATTTACTTAATATAAATTGATTGCGATATTGATAAAGTTGATTGAATGCTAAATATAATTTCCTAAGAACTTTATAAATTAATAGCTTTTTTTTTTAAAATAAATGCTTAAAACTTCTATTTCACAGGAAATAAGTTAACCTCAAAAACTTATTCCAAATGAAATCAAAATACCCGATAAGACGATGAACTCCATAATGATTAAACATTTTCCTTGAGGCGAACTTGATGGTTCTCAACACAATACCTTCATCAATTCGAAAGATTTAACTTATAATCATACACTTTAAAACAAAAGAGTTTTCGCAACATTTTATACATACTATCGCAGCGGTAAAAATCCCTGCTATTTTCACAACACTTTATGCTTTCTAAATAGTGCGACTATAATATCTTCTAGTCTTTTATTTTCTTTAACGAAGCTTTGGCTAATACTCATCTGATTAAAATTACTCGAATAAAAAAATCTTCTTAGCAACCATTTTAAGAAAAAATGCCACGACTTCATCAAAGTAAAAAATTAAAATTATAGAAAATTTAGGAAAAAAAAACTAAGGAAAAATTAATGTCTATTTATTTCATTAAAAATATGTGACAACAGCTTTAAAATTTTAGTAGGACATGGTGATATCTGAGAAAAACAGAGGGGACATCTTACTGCTGCCAATCTTCAGAAAATCTTTCTCAGAGCTCATCATCTTCCCTTGCATTTTAAAGGAGCTTTTCACAGCTCTCCTGGTTGGAGGTGATAGAGAAAGTGAGAGCTCACTTTCATCTCCAGACTCAATATTCTCACTAATTATCCCTTTATGATCTATTGAGCTTGGCTGCAAACTCAGCTGCAAATCTGGAATTGCACTCTTCTCCCTTGTAAGCCTCATCCTCTTGGCTTCAGAAGAAATTTGCTCCATACTTTCAAAGCTGTGGTCAGACTTAGCTGAACTTCTGTTGCACTGTTGATCCTGTGATTGCATATATGATTAGGATGCTACAATTTAATAGTTTGATCGTGGTGGCAAGCATAAATACATCGGTTCGGTAGTTCCAAAAAAATCACTTGAATGATTAAATTGTAAATATCAATGTTTCGGGTGGTCTGTATGCAACGATTCCTAACAATGAATATTTAATCATGCTCCTTAAACAAATATATCCATGATTTGAAATTCTGTATGTACCTGGAATGCAGAAGATGCTGACAAACGAGGCTGATGAAGTTCATCTTTAATCAAAGCTTCATGCCAGAAGGATTGGTTCAGCTTGCTAAAATTATCACTGCTGGTTCCATTCATCCTAAAAGCAGGCATAATTGACTGTATTCGAGGAGTCGGAGAGAGCTGGATCTGAGAGCAGCCACCTCCAATCCACTCAGAGCTTCTGCTCCTTTGCAGAGGCACATAGCTTTCTTCCATGAAGTGATCATTGGATCTATCAGAAATCGAAATCCCATCTTGCTTGCAATTCATTTGCTGATTAAAAACTGACTCTTGTTGTCTGTGTTAAGAAGCTCAGTTCATCAGCTTGAAATTTATTTTGATCAGCAAATAGCTCAGCTTGAAATTTATTTCTGCTGCAAAAATGAGTCTTGTGGGAGAGTTTTATAGATTTCGTTATATTACCTGAAGTTACCGTTTTTGAATTCAAAGCTTCTTTGTGCTTGAGACTGCCGCAGGAGACTGTAAATTCTTTCTGCTTCATGAATATATCGTAATTGTTGGCACGAACCGGCTGCTCTTTGGTATAGCATCTCCCTCCTTGGATGGGCATCAAATGTTGAAAATGCTGTATCATTATTGCATAAAGATTAGTGTTTGATGGCCAATTTTTTTTTTTTTTAATTCTTTTGTGCAGGTCAATGTTTTGCTCTGTTTGTTCTGAAGTGGTCTTGTGCTAGTTTCAGTACAAGTCCAGATGTGCAATTATTATTATTGGTTTGTAAACCTTATACCTGAAGAGAAGATGGCTCTTTCTTGTCCCAAAACATCAAGCTTCTTGCCTCTGTACATCTTCACATCAGTGAGGAAATATTAGAAAGGGGACTAAGAAAATTGTAGGTTTGCAGAACACAACTTGCAGAGAAAATTGTTCGTATAATGCAATTAAGAGAATCATTTTGATCTTGGATTATAGGGGGAATTGTGATGAGGGGTATAATTCTTAGAAAAAAAATATTTTTGGGCTGGATATGTAAATAAGCAAAGTATTCTCATGAATTAGTTCATATGTGGGAGTTTTTACCTGCAAGTGGCTCTTTACATGGGCAATACTTAAGCCCCTTACATTCATCATCTGAAGTACTAACTTTGGGGTTGCTCCTGCACCAATCAAATGAATTAAAAAGAAGGAAAATAAAGCTAATAGGTTAATAAAATCATTATCTAGCTAAAATAAATGCAGAAACATGCTCAAATTTATTTTTTTCTTTCTAAAAAAAGGGAAGTGGGGGAGGGAATTACTCTCATGGCCGCCCAGCCTCTCAACAGCATGAACAAAGGAGAGATGAAGCTCTGGTGTCCACCGCAGCCTTGGCATTTTAGACCTCACATATTGTCTCACGGCAGCCGATCGCCGGTCTCGGTTCTCCTCTCCATCCTCCATGCTCTTACTTGAGCCACCATCATTGTTGTTTCCATCATCTTCACTATTATTATTGTAGCTATAACTCTCTCCTCCTTCCTCCAAAACTTCTGTGGTGCTTCCATTGTTATCTTCATCATCTTCTTCTCCTCCATCTGCCATCAGTTCCTCATTAAGGTTCAGCTCAAGCTGCAACTTCTTTCTGCAACTTATTCCTTCACTTCTCTCATTAGTTTCTTCATCGTTCTCAATCTCCACCACTTCTACTGACTTCTCCCCTCCCATCTTAATCAGTCTCTCTTTCTGCACTGCTGTCAGAAGACTAATAGAGGAAGATGAAAGTACATGTAGATGACTTTGAAGATCAATATCAAAACCCTATATATAGTGTTGATATCATTAATGGAGAGCTAAATGCCAAGAATGATAACACAAAAATGTTAGGAATATTTAATCATGGAGGACAGGACATGAACATGTATTCAAGACATTGACCATCTTTGTATTTTAGTTCCTGATGATCGAGGTGTGGAATCATATGGAGAGATGGAGAGGGGAGTAACAGAAGTCAGAAGAGTCAGTCACTTTAGAGGTTGACATTTGGCTCATAGAAGCAGCAAAGTGTCAATCATTATAACATATTTTCCTTTTCTGACATTTGACTTAATTGATACCTAAATTAGAGGGTAAGAACAAGCTTTTTAGCTCTTTGAATGAGCCAATTGTGAAGAACATTACATACGTTTACGTGTGCACACACAAACATACATACATATATACTATAGAAAACTTAATAATTAGCGTCAGAAAACTTTTGTCACGAACTTTAGCATCAAATTTGTGTTTGTTTTACGTCGAAATGGATTAGGGGTGGGATTTGCATCGCCTTCTCTCATTGCAAAATATTTGCATCGACCGTTGCGTTGCCAAACTGTCGACACAAAAGGTTCGTATCGAACGCAGCGTCAACATTTTAATTTCACCGCATTAAAATTACTTAATAGGGTCGACTATTCAGACAATATAACCTACGCAAAGGAAAATATCGACGCAAAGCTAACACACATGCTTAAAAATTCTAATCACATATATTCATTTATCTTTTAGTGGGTAAGTTTTGTTGCCCTTTTGCGAAGCACAAAAATTAAGCTTACATAACACCAAAATAAGTCAAGTTGAGTCTTTACTGCAAGATATTTCAACCTAATTTTTGGTACTAGTTTGCGGATGATGCGTATGACCTAGATGTTCATTATGATCATGTTAATACTTCATCAAGTTCTGCCAATCTAATAGAATAAGATCCTAACATATAGGAAGAAATAATTTTTTATGCCAACAAAATTTTGTTAATTGGGAGTGTCCTTAAGAAGGGTCAAACATAAAACATTAAATCACAAAATTTTATGATTTACTAAATGCTGCGCAACAACTTTTGTAAAAATGTTGTACTATTCATACGGAATTGTCAGTAAGGTTGAGGATTTTGAACATCAAATCTTATTATAATATGCCTAGAGAATGTTTTAATCAAGTGGTAACATTACTAACAGAGACGAATGACCGACTTTTTGTAAATCGACAAATACAAGAATTTGATGGCGCTACTAGAAGATTTAATTTCCAGCAACGACGTCAAAAGACTTGATCGCGACTTTATAGATGTGTCTAATTTGATTAATCGATGTGTCTAATTTGATTAAGATGTATAAATATAATATTTAATAATGTTAAAGTCGAATTTGTCAACGCAAGTATACGTATCGCTCAAGTAATATAGGGTTCTAATGGCGTCCTAGATATCGATCTCACATGGAGTAGTTTAAAATTACGGACTAAGACCTTAGAAAAGCAATACTTTAATCACAACAACGACGTTCAATTTGATTATCTGTCACTAATAGGTAATTGAAATAAATAGATAATTTTAATAACTAATAAATAACTAATGATATAAAGTAGGGTTTAATTATGATATTCAATATATAAGAAACATCCTTCTCCTTGTCAAGAAATTATAGTAAATGAATAAAATGAATTAGTTCAATTTATATTGTGCCAAATAGGAGCATACCTATTCTTTACCCTTTGATCCAGACATAAAGAACATTGAATCATCCTATGCTTGTTTATTGAATCTGCGGCTAAGCTTGGAGGATACCGGCTCTCACTTCGGAGCTCCCACATTCCCCTCACCTGAGGGCTAACATTTACACTTCAGCACCCAAACAATAGGACCGAATTGGGGATTTTAGTCTATCACTCTAAAATCTCCAATTCTAC